AGGGAGTGGTTCAAACGAGAACCACAAAAGATTAACAACCCTATTAATTAGTAAATATTTACACAATAATTTTATTAAAATGTAAAAATCCTAAGTTTTTTGTCTTTTTGATACGAAAATGACAAAATTATAATTTTTAAAGTCTAATATTTCCATTCATATATGCTCTCTTATTTTAATACAAAACTTATACAAAATACAATTTTATACAGTCCATTTAAAGTTTAATGCAAAAAATTCAGAATTTAATACAAACCATTTTACAATAATTCACTAATTTAAAAATGTCAAAACCTCAAACTCTACCACCATACACAGCCACCAACCACTTGTATCAATATTGTAACCATCATTTCTTCCAAATCAGATCAGTAAATAAAGTCTTGCATTAACTTAAATACTACATTCACAGTTTAATAAAACATATTAATTCATTCGTTTTAAATTTAATGCAAAATAATTATAAAAACTAGTACTGTCTTACAAATTTATACAACAACAAAAAAAAAATCATAAGAAAATTAACACTAAAATTTATACATAAATCATTCATATTTTAACAGAAATTATAAAAAATTCACAACAAAATGCAGTCAATTCACAGTTTAATGTAGTCAATTCACATTTTTAAACACAAAAATCATTGTCAAAAATTCATAGTTTAATATAGTCAATTCATAATTTAACTAAAAAATTTACAACTTAATGAAGTTAATTCAAAGTTTAAAAAACAAAAATCACAGCTTAATACATAAAAATCACATCTTATTACAATAAATTTACAGTTTAATACAAAAAATATAAATTCACAACGATATTATCAATTTAAAATTTTTAATACAGTCAATTCACAGTTTAATAAGAAAATTCACAACTTATTATAGTCAATTCACATTTTTAAACACAAAAATCATTGTTTAATACAAAAAATTCACAGTTTAATATAGTCATTTTACAATTTAAATAAAAAATTCACATCTTATTACAGCTTAATACGTAAAAATCACATTTATTACAATAAATTTACAATTTAATACAAAAAATATAAATTCACAACCATATTATCAATTTGAAATTTTTAATACAGTCAATTCATAGTTTAATAAGAAAATTCACAGCTTATTATTGTCAAGTTAGAGTTTAAACAAGAAATTTACAGGTTATTGAAGTCAATTCACAGTTTAAAACACAAAAGTCAAAGCTTAATACACAAATCATTTATATTTTAACACAAAATCTATATTAGATTCACAACTTAATACAACCGATTCACAACTTAATACTGTCTATTTACAGTTTAATCACAAAATTCATTAAGAGTAAACTACCACATTTGATATGTACAAAATAATGTATTCATAGCTTAAAACTTTAAGACCACCATTAAAAACTCGACAAATTAGGAGTAAACTATCACATCTTTTGTTTATGAATTAGTTTTCTAACAATTTTCAACTAGTTTTTTTGAAGTCCATTTAACCAACAATGAATTAGGTTTAAATGAACTACTAAGTTTTATATAAAGTGTTTTTTCGAAATCTATTTTTAATAATAAAATTTTAGCTAAAATTTTAATTAGACAACAAAACATAAAGGAAAATATAAATATAAAAATAAAAGATGTATGCATCTCCACCTTATACTCTATCTATTGCAACTCTACTATTTAATATATTTTATTAAGGGAAAATTACTAATCTAACCAAATTTATTAATAACTTTTCACTTTTTAGACAAAATTTAGGACTTATCTCGAAATAGCCATCGAAACCGTAGGTGGTTAAAATGGCCTACTGTTTCGCTCATTTACCTACTGTTTTGATTTTAGTATATAAGGATTTTTTTTCATTTTTCATTACGAAACCGTAGACGAAAAAATGGTCTACTGTTTCCTCTGAGAAGTCTACTGTTTCCCAAAGAGTAGATTAAAAATGATCTACTGTTTCGTCTAAAAACCTATGGTTTTTTTTTTTCAAAATTTTACCGTATTGTTGATTAGGAGTAGTTTTTGTATGTGGGGATAACTTTTTTTTTTGAAAAAAACCAAAAAACAAAAATTAAAACCGTAGGTTTCGTAAGAAACCTACGGTGTACAAGTCAATAATGCACAAAACCGTAGTTTTTTAACCCAAAACCGTAGTTTTTTTAACCCAAAACCGTAGTTCTCATTTAAAAAAAACATAAAATTTCCAAAAACCGTAGCCTACGGTTTGGGAAACCTTAGGTTTTACAATACCTACGGTTTTATATGTTGAAAATGAAAAAAAAATTATAACAAACACGAAACAGTAGACGATTTTGCGAAACAATAGACGAATATAAATACCTACGGTTTCGTGTGCTATTTTGAGATATTTCCTAATTTTTGGCTAAAAATTGCTAATCACTTTCTTAATTTGGCTAAATTAATAATTATCCCTTTTATTGATATGAAAGTAATATTATATAATAAAACTTGAATAATAAACAACCATTATATTAGTGTCAAGTATTCGTATCTTTAATTCTTTACCCATTGGGTTACTTGATTTGTTTTCTTGATAAAAATTTATATATAATCATACTATAAAAAAATCCAACTTTATTAAACAAAAATAAGGATCCGTATTACATATATTATTAATCTTCATGTCTAGTTTATTTTAATTATTTCAATAATATTTTTATACTATTGCATATACATTTTTATTTATTTTTAATACTTTTTGTCTTTTTATTGGGATTTTATGTTTTATTTTCTTATTTTTATCCGTTGCTATAATTTTTTATTATAAACATAGAATCATTATCTTGTAATAATTTAATTAGAGTTTAATTAAATAATGTTTCAAGTGAAAGTTGTTTATAATTATAAATTGTAATAAAAATGACAAAGAAAAATTAATATGAACCATATAAAATTAAAAAATATATTATGTGAATAGTTGTCTCATGTGAGTGGGCGAAAGAAATGAGTAGAAAGGTTTAAGAATATATTTTAATTAAAAATGTTTAAAATATTTTATTGTGATGTGAAAAAGAATCTGATTGAACATGTCTAATCACTGCCTTAGGATACATGAATAGTAGCCTCAAACATACATTGTTTAGCCTCACCTACGAAAAACAGTAAAAAAAAAAAGAAAAAAACAACTGCTTTTATACAAGTTACTTTATAGACATGAATATTCTTTTAAATACAAAATTATCCTATTTTTTTATTCGTGAGAGCTTTATACTCATTTCTTTAACAAATTACAGATTTAAAAATGGACTAATAATAAAAAAGAATAAAACATTGTTGCAACCTTTTATTATTTTAATAATAGTTTAGTATTTTAATAAGAAAACTATGAAACTCTCGTATCTAACTAGATTTGAGCAAAAAACACATTAAAAAAGACTAGTTCATAATTTTATTCACAAAATAATATACTAGTTCATATAGTCATTCACAGCTTAACAAATACATTCTTTTCAAACACCTTTTATACATCTGATTTAAAAACTTTTCCATCTAAACATTATCATCATAAATCTAACCATATAAAAAATACACAAAGAATAGAAGATGAGGAGGTACAAAAAATCTGATCTGATGGTAAAAGAATCGTCGACCACCTAGAAGTGCATAACAACCACCAGATCTACAACTAAAATACGCCAAACAAATCATATCTGATGCAGATCTGATGGTATCACGAATATCAAAGATAAGAGATGAAGGCATACCTGTCGGAGTTTCACCGGAGCGACGGGCAGTAGAGGTGGTGGTAATTGACGGCGTTATTGTCGTTCCTTGGTGTTAGAGCTCAAAAATGTTAGATCTGATGCAGATCTACATGTTTTTCTCCGAAAATCATAGAGAAAGAGATATAGGAAAGCTCGTTGTGTTTAACCGGAGCTGAGAGGAAGCAACTAGGGTGGCGGCTGACGGCGGTGGTGTGGTTTGTCGGTTTTAGAGCTCAAATACGTTAGATCCAGTGCACATCTAGTTGCTTTTCGTCGTAGATCATGAAGAAAGAGATGGAGACGAGTTTTTTGTATTTCACCTGAGTGAAGAGCAGTAGCGGTGGTTATCAGCGATGGCTTTCGCTGACAACGGGGTTTTTGACTCCAGATCTGAAGTCAGTGGCGGTCAATAGTGGATTTGAAGTGAAAAACTTTGGAAACTTAACATTTCGACGAGGGAAGGTGGTAGGTGACGACGGCGGTAAGCGGTAGGTGGTGGTGGACGTAGGTGGTAGAGCTGATGTTAGGGTTTGAGTTGTTGGGAGAGTTTGAGAGTGTTTTCTTGTAAAAAAAAATTTGTAAATATTTGAAATGTTATAGATTGTTAGATATTTGTTGTTAAAGTTGAAAATGACTATTAGAATATTTAAAAATGAGTGGTTCTTAGAGTTCTTAATTTTTTTTTGTTCTCATTTGAACCTATATATATATATATATATATATATATATATATATATATATATATATATATAAAAGCCATTTAATTCTGATTCCTTCTAAAACAAATTCATTTGATTTTTTTGATGTCACGTATCCTACCATCGTTACAACGTATTGTACCACAACAGGCGTTTTCCAACCTCGCATGTAACGTATGGCATTCTCCACATGGTCATCCCTACCGATTCAGCGACTCCCTTCCCCTCTAGCGAAACTCTGAATTCCTTGCCAACAGCAACAACACCAACGTCAAGAAAAGCCCTAATTTCAACAGCGACTCCTGATTCGTGAACATAAAACACAACCACTAATATTCCCTAATTTCACAGACAAATATGTCGTCATTGATATCTGTATACCGGAATTGATTGATGTTTTCCGGATTCTTCGATATTCACCGACTTCCTCCTTAACAAGAACTCTGACCACACTTCTATGTCACCATTGGCCTCTTTGAATGCCTCCACGTCATAGTATTTCTTCAGCGCCTGAACAGTGCCTTTACATTGTTTCCACCCGGTTCAAGAGGGCGCCTTTAAATAGTTAGCGCTACTTCTATTAACGTTGTCTTCTTTCCTCTTCCAACCGGTTCTAGACTTCTTCAACGATCTCTTTTTTCCTTTATGAAACAAAATTGAAATTCATAAATATTATCACTGATTGACAATCGAGGATCGCATCCCTTCCATTTGATCGCTAAGAACGAGTTTATCCTTGAGGCGTTTCTTCAATGATTTTGGAATGCAATTGTAGGCTGATGCCCGATTCAACCTCCATTAATGGTTGGCGGCTACTATGTGTTTCCTTGTAAGAACTTTAGGGCTTTGTAGATATTTTATCTAATTACACAAATATGATGGTTGGGTTTTCATTATCATATGGTACTATTCACGGTGGTGTTTTTCAATGACAATAAACTGACTATATGCGATATTTTTTTCCTGTTATTCAAAACTCTTTATTTACAAGGCCAAAGACTCCATCTTTTTTGCATAATTGAAACTCTTATACCCTTTTTGTTTATCTGTTATGACTACTCTGATCTTTATGCAATGTTTGTTGAGGTTTTAGTTGGAATGTGCTTATGCAGTCCATGTGTTTCTGAAAATTCTAGAAAAAAAAAAAGAAGTTTCGTACTTTGTTGTTATGAATGAACCATCCACTGTCTAGATAACTTTAGACCTTTTAAGTCCTTGTATGTTTAATTCCAAGAATTATAACCTTAGAGTATACCTGGTTTTCGTTTGTAGATTTGTAAAACGAAGAAGATGATGTTCTCCTTAAATTTTTGAAGGACAGAGAACCGGATGAAGATTTTATAGTTAAAGTGTCTAATAGACAATGAATGAGGAAGACCATATAAATTTATATTAATGATAAAATGTGAAGTTTTATTGATTTACTCTTCCCTTTATATTTATTTATCAATAAATGGTTGGGACCGAAACACATACGACTTAAGAGTCACATTAATCAGATTTTAATGTTTGAAATATCGGGGGTTTTAGAAACCACCAGGGAAGACCATTCATGTACATATATTTTTTTATCAGACAATCTTGGATATGTCGTTATTGCACTCCTACAGGCACCAAAGAAACATGGTGTTGGGCTTCATATCTTATACAACTAGGTTAAAACCTGTGGAACCTACGGATGTTAATTTTAAATAAAATTAAAAAATTAATTATGTAATAAAATAATATACAGTTAATTTAGAAAACTTATGAATTGTAATACTGTATTTTTTTTAATAACTTTGTGATTTGTAAGTATTTAATTACATAGTAATTTTGTGAGATTAATAGAAATTGTTTTTATATTCGTCAATTTTTTTCAACCCAATTTTTGCAAAAGAAAATCAATCAACTCAACTTGTGCAAAGCTCGTTTAGAAACGCTAAAAAAATATGTAAACATCACGCCTTGATTTAGACTGACAATTATCTACGATTAGATAAAGAAATGGATTTCCAAATTAGCTTCTTAGTTCTAAGACATGATCAAAACAATGACCAATATAAAGATAGAGAAACTAAGATCGATAATAATGTAGTCACATACATATATTTACATACTTGTATCCAAGTTTAGCAATACCAGTAGAAATGATAACATAACTTGTCAAACATCTTAACCAAGAGTTAATAGAAGATATATATTTAAACCTGTGGAAACCACGGTTAGGAAATAAAGACATTATTGATAATTTCAAATCGTAATTACTAATCAATGATTTGCATAAATTTATTATTTTACATAGAGGCTTTGTGTAAATTTATAATAATTAGTTAAAATTAATATATACACTGGTATTAATATTCGATCGTTGTTCGTATATGTAGATATTTGATAAAATGATGATTTTGTACAATTCAATAAAAATTGAATTAATAGAAAGATGTTCCATTTTTTGTCACCTTTTCATATTCGGACCCTTTGTTAAAATGAAATTTTACAATATAGAAACCAAAATTGTAAAGTTGGTCTATAATAGCAACCACCTTTGTAGAAATGGGTTGTGATAACGACTTGTTCCATTTTTTTTTACTTCATTTTTTCAGATTTGGTTCTTTGTTAACATGAAAATTTTACAATAAATAGCAACCAAGACTGTAAAGTTGGTCTATAATAGCAACCAACTTTGTAGAAATAGGTTGCGATAAGAACTTGTTTCATTTTGTTTTGTCATTTTTGGTTTAGTCGTTTGTTACATGAAATTTTACAATAAATAGCAACCAAGATTTTAAAGTTAGTCTATTATAGCAACCACCTTTATATAAATAGGCTGTGAAAAGAACTTCTTCTATTTTTGTTCTTTTTTCTAGATTTGATTTTTTTTACATGAAACTTAACTTGGATGATTTTCTTTAAAATAAAATTTTGTAACTTTAGGTCCAATAATCACTTTTTCATAAGGTTTCAACTTTCTACCCGTCAACAAAGGTACAAGCTCTGCGAGCTTTTTCTTCTTAACTAAGATTGATATATTTAAAGGGAGTATCTTCTTCATATCGCCTAAGCATGTTTGCTACTGTTTCATTCCCTTACTCTAAAGACACAATGCAATATTGTCACAACTTCAGCAAAAATGATGAGACTATAAATAATGTAATTTGAGACATTTTACCATGATGTTGCGTCTTCTCTAGTTTTAGTTCATGAGCATCTGGTAATTACAATTAAAAAATGTTAGCAAATTCATACTTTGTATTGTAGCTCTCTTATAGACACTTGAATGAAAGTTCATTGTAAGTGCTTCGGTTATGCTATAAAACTCCATAAATATGAATATAAGTGCTTTATTTTACAGTTGTTAATAAAGATAATCCAATAAATATGTTAGGATCAAAATATATTTACGTAGAGATTGTAGCAAGGGCTATATGTAAAAGAGGCACCAACAAAGAATAATTAATATCAAAGAAAGGGATTAAAACATAGGACTCGATAAGCCACATTGTTTCACTAAATTCACCAATTTCAGTATCCAAAAATGTAGATATCATACCAGCTAGGTCTACCCTCAATAGTTTCAAGTTAAATATAAACCTAAAACTAAGTAAATATTATTATTCTTATAGGTAGTTCTTCCTTTATTTCAGATTTCAACAAGTTTATTCTTTGATCTATAGGCTTGATAATCATAGTTACAAATACTTAACTAACAAAAATAATCACAAAATACCTAAGAAAGAGAAACATTTTCACAACAAAGCCCAAATTCAAGACAAACTTTAACCAAAAAAATAGAAAAAGAAAAAGAAAGCAACAATATGCAATAGATTTAAACCAAAAAGTTAAACATGTGCATAGTTAAAATACTCAAAATCACACAAAGCATCCACCACAAAACTACTTACCGGAACAAATATAAGTCATAGTTTTACTCGTCTTCTTGGATACTCAACCTCTCAAACTTATTAGTAACCACAATATCCAACTGTGCTACTTTTCCCACTATAGCCTTCCTTTTTTTCTTGTAGATACATTGTGTGCAATTTCAGCACAATATGTCCTAAATCAAATCAATATACTTACATATATCATTAATAAGGGTATCACGAGGACTTCTAATTCTTTTGCATTTGAACAATAAACTTTTATTCCAAGATAAGAAGATCCTTGCTCTTTTTGTAGATCATTTTCTTCAATTACTCCTGTTAGATTCACATAATTAAACAGCAAGATATAGATGAAAATAACCAATCAACACCTGGGGTTCTTCAATTGGTCATCTAAAGTTCAAAATCGTTAAAGGCGATTTAAAAACAGAATCAGTTTCAACAAAAATAAGAAAACATAAATCCAGAAAATCGATATCGAACTCCGATAAATGGAAAATAAATTTTTTCAATAGGAAAAGGTTTATGCATTTACCTTGTATTTTCGTAAAGTTACTTTCTTCAAAGAAACCATAAATCACGTGGATGAGCACTTAATCAGAGAAGAGGGATTGCAATGCAAAGACTGAATAGATTGTTGGAGTGGTGGAGGCATCACGAATGGGTTAAAATAAACAACGGATTCCAATGAAGGATATCCATATCATTTTATGTGATTTCAAAGAGGGGAATCCATACCTTTATCCCCAATTTTCTGCAGAAATAGAGAATGAAAAATAAAATAGTAAACGATTACCTACATGATTTCGTGGATTTATCCGAATATTACTAATCAGCACGAAAATATGGGTGATCTAGGAGCGAATTTCTTGGATTGAAGTTGGAAACTTTGATCTGTTTCCAGCTTTGTGTGTGAAACCACTCATACACTTTCTGATTTTTCATAACTACCATCGTCTTCGTCCCTATCTTCTACAATGCTCGACTGAATCGGATCTCAAGTTTGTAATCAATTAAGAGATTAATTCTCGGCTTCTACTCAATGTCCAACAAAAAAATTAGCGTCAAAATGAATGGGTATGGAATTGTAAGTGTATAAATAAAGAGATTGATAAATAACTTTGGAAACGATTCATTTCAACCATCCCTGGAATTTAGGAGCTGATTTATCGCAAAGAAGTTGAAAACTTTTAATTGTTTCCAACATCAGAGTGAGACGGATGTGGTTTTAAGAGGCAGAAAGGGGTGTTTTTGGAACTTCACATAGAAATTATGAGCGGGAAAATTCACTGGAGAGGGGCTCATTGACTGCCACGTGGGGAAAAAGTACTTATTTATTAAATTAGGGGATGTCATTCTCATAATTTATTTTATATGTTGTTTTATTGGTTAAAAATATTATCACAATTTGCATTTATTTTTGTAGATGGCAAAACAAATAATGAGGTTTTCTTCACAGGCAATAAATTGACTTAAATGCTTTATCACATCATCAGGTTTGTTTCCTTTTATGTTATATGTATATGTATATGAGTGAATGATTAACTAGGTTCATATGCCAATACATAATTAAGAAAAATATATGGATTGGCAATTTTAAGATTACAGTTTCAGGAAAAGAACAATTGTTCCCTTGGTATGTCTGAACTAGTCTCACATATGCTCAAGCACCTCAACTATAGATAAGATAAAATGTGACAAATAACTACTTTTACTTTTAGAGGTAATTTTTTTAACAAAATGACCAAGCCATTTTGTCTCTTTACAAAAATGACAAACAATATCTCAAATGAAACTGTGTATGAAATCTGGTCTTCATGTTATAACAATTTACGTTTACGGTTGTGGTTGTCATTTTAGTTTTTCCAATGGCGAAATAGATAAGATGAAACCCAACCCTAAATTAGATATCAACATCCATGAAAAATGTTTGAGTTGGAGCAAATGGTATGGATTAATTTAGCACTTGATGCCTATTGGGAAATACATTTATGTTCTAACTATGTCATTTTGATAGTTCTGAATTCATTTGTTAAGGTGGTTCTATATGGTTAGAAAAGAGTAGATATTGATTGAAGCATGATCTTTTTGTTCTTAAATGATATTTAGAATAAGCATTATTTTATTCTTGATTTTTCATTAATATATACATAACCATTAATTACAGCTAGCAATGATCTCTACATTCTTTGTTCAAGATCAATAGGGAACTAAAACTATTTAAACTACGATTTCACATGGTTCTAAAATGGGTTCAAAATACCAATGAAGCAGTGGAGACGTTCTTTTAGACTTACTACATGGTTATTATATCATTGGAATTTCCCGGTATGCTTTCTCTATCAATAAATCTAATAGCTTTTGATTTATTTGAAATAAATTTAATTATAAAGGTGATATCCTGCTGAGCCGGTTTCATCATAATACTCATTTTCATTCACCTGTTGGACCTTGAAATTGGTTACATAAACATAAAATATATTTATATAATATCTTTTCCTCTGTCCATTTTATA